ATTTTTTCAACTTCCCAAAAATTGGTTAAAGTATTATTAAGTTCTCGAATACAAGAAGATTTGCAATAAAACGTGGACATAACAGGACGAGGTATTGAAGAATTTTTTCCCAAAATCACGTAACCAAAAATTGTATGAATGGCATCAGGTTCAGATATGGTTCCGGTAACATGTCCATTTAATAATAGTTTTGGAAAGACATCTGCCCCAAGTAACAGATCGACAGGACCTGGAGTAAAATATTTGGGATCAGCAAGCTTAAGATCCAAAAGATGAGACCAATTATGAATAGGTAATGTAGAATCAGGAAGGTTATCACATATTTGATTACAGTTCATCAAATTTCTAGAGGTGTTCGACGCCCAGACAAAGAACGCGCTACGTGTGACTAAGATAGGTATTGTACAGTCTGCTAAACAAGTTATTTTAAATAGTTTTTAATATTTTTAGGTAATTAAATTTTAAAAGTGTGGAATAGTTTAGGGATTAAATTGGTCTGATTGGACTTTCTTAAAACGTTTTTAAAAGCAGCTAAAGATAGTATGTAGAATTGAAAATAATTATTATGCCATAAAAGGTGTTTTGGAATTCCTTCAACCTTTTGAAATTGAGTCAGAAAATATAAATTTTATAGGATAGCGGAAAATACCTATAATTTTTTTGTAGGCCTTTGTAAATCGTGGAAATAGTTTATATTTTATTTCTACCTTATTAAGGAAAATGGTACCTATTATTAATAACGGTTGTTTCTGAAACATTACTAAGATTTTCGAAATTTTGTTCTTCTACAAAATAATAAACTATACTATTTAGAAAAAAATTTATTTCTCTTATAATTTTATAAAAAATAACAGGGGAATATTTACATTTCTTGATCTATTAAACAAAACGATAAATTATCTCGACGAATGACACCATGTTCTAGTACGGAAGCTAGCTTTACATTTTTGTTGGTGGTTTCATGGGTTTCATATCAATTTTTTGTAATTGTAGTTTACACGTACATATACCTCTTAACACTTGTTTGCTTTATTAAAAAAGTGTGTTGTTGTGATTTACGTCGAAATAAGTCAAAAACAACTTGAAACCCCATATAAAATCAAAAAGGAGAAACGGAAAAAAATTGAGCCTGTAAATGAACACAACTCAGAAACAAAAATAGCTATCTAATAATAAAAAAATAAAATTTGATTCTTGTGCAGCTTCATCTATATCATTAACTGTTTTTGGTTTTTTAATGGTTTTTCTTGGTAATGAAAATTCCAATATCTCACGGTTATCGATTCTTTTCTTCTCTCCAGAAATGCGGACGACAGTATTTTTAGATACTCCTGTGGCTGCAGCAACACGATCATTTACATTTTTAAATGGTATTGAAGGTGAATTAAAGTTTCCTTCTCTTCTCATAAACTCTATAACATTGGCTATTATTTCGCGAGATTGACTGTTAATCACGCGGCCTCTTAATTTGCTATTAAACTCCATACTTAGGTTCTATTAAACTGTAATGAGCAAAAAACACAAACGAAAATAAAAGAAATGTTTTAGCGAAATTTACATCTGACATTTACGTCTGAATGAAATAGTGAAATACTTGATGCGCAGAGTGTACTTTCATTGCGTAAATTCGTCGGGATGCCTGTCAGTAGTGCTTTCTCTGTCTAGCCGTCGAAAGCCTCTAGAAATTTGATGAACTGTAACGATAATAGCATCTAGATATATTTTAGGTTCTGGCTGATTAAGGGGTTTGCACGTTACCCCTACACGAGCGATGTCAAGGGTAGGTGTCATCGAGTCTAAACCTCTAATATCTACGGAAAATTCGGTTTGGGCAAGATTTAGACGAGTAGCAGCTCGCTTGGAAATAAACGAACTCATACTTCCCGAATCTAGTAAGCAGCGATATGAGCGGTAAATTCCTCGATTATGAAGAACATCGATAAGGGCGGTAGCTAATAAAATTCGACTTGATTCTATTACTCCTTGAGCTGTAAGAATTTGATTTCCTAAAGTACTAGTACTAGTGAAATTTGGCAGAGACGTAGACGAAGTAGGAGGCAAGCGGTCCAAAGGGCGGTGATTTTGAGATATTTTCCGATCAAAATGCAACAAGCTATGATGTGATTTTGAAAAACAATATCTACAACCTTGAGTACTATTGCAAGACCTCAGGTCATGAGAACTACTCAAGCAATTATAGCACAAATGGTTAGATTTGCAGAAGGCATGTCTTTCAGAGGGCGACTTTGAAGCGAAATTCTGACATTTATAAAGCGAATGAGTTTCCTTGCAAAGAATACAATTAGAACTAGGCGATTTAGCGCCAGTATTCGTAAATAACGAACGCGGACGTGGTGTGATAATCTTAGGTTTATTTTTTATATTTGAACTGGATGGCGCGTCCGAATCAATATTATCGTAAGCTAAATATTGTTCGTTTAAGAATTTAATAATACTTTTATAGCTAGGAACCTGACAAGAACGATGTTCAAGTTCGAAACGTAGTTTAGTTTCATTATCAAGTCGTTTAAGTAACATCATGGCTAGAATGAAATCCCAATGTTCAACCGGAAAACCTAAGATTTCTAGAGCGGCAATATTTTCTTTAAAAATTCAAGTAGTTTTTCTAAAGCGTGCGGATTATTCGATTCAATTTTAGACGTGCTGTCAATCTCATTCCAATGAGCTTGTGCACATTTTCGTGGATTTGCATACCTCTCTTGTAAAGTATCATAAGCTAATTGATAATTATTAGAAGTTAAGGGCAAATGTCGAACTAAAGAATATGGCTTTCCATCCAAGCAAGAGAGTAAATAATCGAATTTTTCAATATTAGATAAATGAGGTTTTTCATGAACTAAATTATTAAAATGGTCTATAAATGAGCGAAAATTTCTATAATCGCCACTAAATTTCTTTAATTCAATCACCGGCAAACGAATATGAGATGAATTTGGATCTATATGAAAAAGTGTAGAATTATGCAAAGCAGTATTTTGATTAGCGTTTACTGGTTGAGTATCAGATTCAAATAGTTCCGAAAATAATGCTATAATCTTATAAAATTCTTCTAAAAACGTTTCTTTGGTAGCATCTTCCCCCTCAGCATCTTCAGGGATAGCAAACAATGTGGCAAGAACATTATTATGATGTTTAAAAAAATCCTCTTTAAGACTATCAATATCTGCGCACCTTACTTTAAAGATATTTTTGAATGATTTATTACTATGCGCTTTATCAGCGAGCATACTAATTACGTTTATTTCATTTAAGCAAGAAGTTCTTAAAGTTTTATATTTAACAAGTTTTTCAACCATTGTAATAAATTAAATAAATCGAATCGCAACCTAAACAAAATTAAAAATAAGTTTTATTTGTATCAGCTGATCAATAACAATATTAATGCGGCGGTAGCGATGCGGTAGCGATGCGAAACACGACGAAAGGCGGGCGATTTTTCACAAATTTCAAAAATAACCGAATACACGGTAGCGGAGCAAACGACAAAGCGGTGATTGATAAACAGAGCGACAATTAGCGAAGAAGCGATAATAATAATAAATGAAGGTCACTTGAAGGCCGATTGATTGGAAACTGTGTCCACTACCTAATAATTAATTTTTTTTTATATGCTAACTGTAGTATTTTATAATGTTTTTTTGGTTTAATTCTATTATTTGAACTTTCTTTTTTTTGCTTTAATATTTAGTTTTTTTTTGGGGGATTGTCTAATCAGTTTAAAAATGTATTATTTACATTTTTTCGGGGCAGGAAATGTTCCAGAATGAATTAATTCCTATTTTATTATTTAAATATTCGCGCTTTGTCTCAAATCGCTTACTTAAAACTTTGGCCCACACATGCGCTTCGTCTGACTGTAACACCGTTGGACGAGGAGAAGAACTACAGCAATTGCCGCGACAAGAACGCATTGTGGAGTGTATGTGCCGTTAAATCCGCTATTATAAAATCCTGTATAATAAACGTTATTATATAAACTGTGTAACCGGGCCCGGTCTTGGCTACTGGACTAATACTACCACCTACTTCATCCGACGAACAATATGATGCAACACAGAAGGTAAGCGCGTTTGAGACACGTTTAACTTATTTTTTTCGACTGTTACAATCAGCGACTTTTTACGTAATATTCCGGCTCGAAGGACCAAAAAAATGTAATAGAATGATTGGAATATTACGTAAAAAGTCGCTGATTGTAACAGTCGAAAAAAATAAGTTAAACGTGTCTCAAACGCGCTTACCTTCTGTGTTGCATCATATTGTTCGTCGGATGAAGTAGGTGGTAGTATTAGTCCAGTAGCCAAGACCGGGCCCGGTTACACAGTTTATATAATAACGTTTATTATATAGGATTTTATAATAGCGGATTTAACGGCACATACACTCCACAAAGCATTCACGTCGCGGCAATTGCTGTAGTTCTTCTCCTCGTCCAACGGCGTTACAGTCAGACGAAGCGCATGTGTGAGCCAAAGTTTTAAGTAAGCGATTTGAGACAAAGCGCAAATATTTAAATAATAAAATAGGAATTAGTTCATTCTGGAACAGAAATAGTCGTATTGATTAATATTCTGCTATTTTTGTTATTGCTAAATTTCTCAAATATTTTACAATTTGAATCTACATAATTTTGGCATTAATAATCAATTAATTAAAGCCCTCGAGCTAAAGCTCTCGGGCTCTAATCAAATTATTATTGCCAAAATTTATGATACATCAAATTTATATTAAAATAACCGACTATTATCAAGGTCTTGCCCATTTCCCTAGACCAAATATCAGCGACTATTTCTCTGAAGAAATAGTCAATATTTGGATAAAATAAAAAACGTCAAAAATTTATTTTTACTGGTACTCGATACGTTGTATTTCGTACTGACCTCTGGAAGGTCTTCGCATGGTACGAATCTTCAATTGTGACTCGATCTAAAAATCCGCAAAAATATATTTTATTCTACTAATAGAAAACTTAAATTACACGTGATTAGACGAAATTGTTTATTAAATTCCTCATAGATATAACAAATAAAACTTTAAAATGATGGGGATTCAACAAACTGTGTTATTAGATAATGATGTGACAGAATACTGCTAAAGATCCATGTATTAGTAAGTTTTACATACTAAAATAATTTATTAATGTTTAATTTATATTTACTTTACTATATAACTGCATTTAATACATCAAAATATAAGGTAATTTAAAACACATTTTGCTCTTTACTTTACCTCAAACAATTTGAAATATATGACGCAAAATTATTCAATTGCATAAGTTTGTGATTTGTTTGTATATGGTCTACAACGTCTAGTTTAGCACAAAAATAGTTACAGTCATTTATAGGACATATAGTCCATGTTGGATGTATTGGCAATGTTTCTAAATGTAACATTTTTTCATGAATTTCAAAGATAAACATATCCGGACTATTTAAAACTGAACTGAACGGCACAAACATTATTTCGTTATTCGGTAATTGATATTGCAGGCAGCTATTGCATATGTTAAAAAAGTATTTGCCAATTTTGATGAAAAATCCATCAAATAAATCAGTTGGTGTTAAAGTTACATTTAAACAAGAAAGACAGTCAAGAAAAATATTGTAACTTTTTCCTCCGTATTTTTTTATTATATAACGTTTGTTTGGGCCTAGCGAGAAAACTGTATCAATAAAAATTGGTTTCCGGATTGAAATTTTACGTGGAAATGTTTTATTGAATTTAGCTAAAATTGTTTTCACTTCTTCTGCTTCCGCTGAGTCAGCAACGAGCTGATCCTTTGTGATCCAGACAGTAGGAGACATTTCAATTTCCACTTTAACACAAACATTTTGCATTCCTACTGTATATGTTTTACAGATTTTAAATGTATATCTTTCGCTTGATAAATGTAATAATTGTTTAGCTTCTAGTGAATATGAATCAGTTACAAGATAAAAACTCATATTTTTTTGTTCGTGGTATTGAGTCACAGGAGATCCCGTCAAAAATATATCACCATTTTCCAGACAGATGTATGATATAAAAAACAACTCTTCATCTTTTTGATATAAAAATGTCTTATTAGTTTCATGTCTGTAAATTTTGAAATATGGGTTCTTCATATAGTGAGCCACGTGGAACTTTTTAAAATGGATTATCATCTGGTACACAGGAATTTCTGTAGGAAAAAACAAAGTTTAGAATTGTATTTATTGAAACAAATATAATGCGTTTTGTGTAACTAACTTACATAAAATGACGTCAAACTAAAACGTCAAACGGAAACGCCGAAACGTCAGACAAAAACGTCAAACGTTAATCTATACCGCGTTCTCTATATAGTGCCGTTTTTTTCCCGTTTGAATTGAACCACGTGATACACTTTTTAATTATCAATTTTACGTAAACCTATAAAACGGTTAGTAGCAGATTAAATCTGATCAAACCTGATTAAGACCTCATTCAGACCTGATAGGAACCTGATTTAAACCTGATAGAAACCTAATTCAAATCTGTTACTATGCCTGTACCTGTGAAATTTCAATGTATACGATGTCATGGAGATAACGATGAACAAAATTCATTGTGTTTTAACTGTCCAACAATATTTTAAAGTCTTTACTGGAAGTAAGCACATTCATTCACATTATGAAAAAAAAAAAAAAATATTTTTGGAAGGTGTCTTAAAATGTGAAAAAAAAACAATAAATATTATTTTATATATTTAATACATAATAATAAAAAATTATTTTAAAAACTTTGATTTTTCTGTTCGACGTTAATCGTTCTCGTCATAATGCCGTTTTTCCTGCTTAAATCGGACCACGTAATACATGCTAAGGCCATTCTGACATTGTGCCCGTTTACACCTTTTAATGTTAATTCTTTCGTTGGAACTGACAGCTGGATGACAGTTCCCGCTGAATGCAGTTTGTCCCGTTTGAATTGGACCACGTGATACACGCTTAGGTCCTTTTGGCATTGCCACTGCGCATGTGTACTTGCGAATGGCAACTATACAACGTTTCACGTAGAATGACGTTGATTATATACATCAGCTTGTAAATAATTATTAAATGTCCTCGTGGTCGAGTGGTCTACGGCGCCGACTGGTAATCGGCAAACCTCTCTGGGCCGGTGGATCGATTCCCGCAGTTTCAGCTTTTTTTCTTTAGTAAATAAAATTAATAATGGTGTATGTTGAGTTGCTGTGATATCGAATAATGATGTATAGTATGTTGCGGATTAATAAATTATTTAATAAGTGACTCCATCTAACGGCAGATGTAGCAGGCTGGCAACAAGGTCAAGTAAGGTTAGGTCAGCAACAGTAGGCTAGTGACGTCATGACACGTGACGTCAAGACGAGTGACCTTGAAAGAGACAAAAATTGCCAGAATAAACCTTAGCGATTTCCCATGTTAAATGGCTGACAGCATGACAGGTGGCCAGAAAAAAGACAATTAAAAGTCAATTAAAAATCAATTAAAAATCAATTAAAAATCAATTAAAAATCAATTAAAAATCAATTAAAAATCAATTAAAAATAAATTAAAAATCAATTAAAAATCAATTAAAAATCAATTAAAAATCAATTAAAAATCAATTAAAAATCAATTAAAAATCAATTAAAAATCAATTAAAAATCAATTAAAAATCAATTAAAAATCAATTAAAAATCAATTAAAAATCAATTAAAAATCAATTAAAAATCAATTAAAAATCAAATCAATTAAAAATCAATTAAAAATCAATTTAAAATCAATTAAAAATCAATTAAAAATCAATTAAAAATCAATTAAAAATCAATTAAAAATCAATTAAAAATCAATTAAAAATCAATTAAAAATCAATTAAAAATCAAATAAAAATCAATTAAAAATTAATTAAAAATCAATTAAAAATCAATTAAAAATCAATTAAAAATCAATTCAAAATCAATTCAAAATCAATTCAAAATCAATTCAAAATCAATTAAAAATCAATTAAAAATCAATTCAAAATCAATTCAAAATCAATTAAAAATCAATTAAAAATCAATTAAAAATCAATTAAAAATCAATTAAAAATCAATTAAAAATCAATTAAAAATCAATTAAAAATCAATTAAAAATCAATTAAAAATCAATTAAAAATCAATTAAAAATCAATTAAAAATCAATTAAAATTCAATTAAAATTCAATTAAAAATCAATTAAAAATCAATTAAAAATCAATTAAAAATCAATTAAAAATCAATTAAAAATTAATTAAAATCAATTAAAAATCAATTAGTAGATTGCCGTTAGATAAGAACTGAATTAGGGCGTGGCAGTTGTCGGTATCATCAAAGGAAAATTTGGTTCCCACGGTCGGTGGATGACACTTGCCATGTCAGGTAACCAGGTAAAAGAAAATTAAAAATCAATTAAAAAAAATGGATGACAGGTGCCATGACAGGTGACATGACAGGTGGCCAGGTAAAAAGACAATTAAAAAGCAATTAAAAAATGGATGACACGTACCATGACATGTGGCCAGGTGTTAATGACACGTGCCATGACAGGTGTTGTCGGTATCATCAAAGGAAAATTTGGTTCCCACGGTCAGTAAAAAGTTCCCGGTCTCAACCGTCGCGACCCCTGCTCATATTATAAACTTGAATATTTACCTTTAATTTTATTTTTGTCTAAACAAACTGGACAATCGGTGGTACTAGTTTGACATTTCATTTCATGTTCTCTTACTTCCGAAGTATGTAAAATTCGTCTACATCCATCAAATCTATTAATACATTTAAACAATACCTTGTCTGCAATAATGTTGTAAATTGATTTTGTACAATTATCATCAATTTCGGAACACCTTCCACATTTTATTTTTGAATTTGGATATATTTTTACTGGAAGAACACTCAAATATTTGTAGCAGACGCTACATTGTGAATCATTTAATATACTATCTGGAATTATTGCAAATTGTGTGTTTGCCGCCATTGTTGATTTACTACTAGTACAATAACTGAGAATAGCTTATCATTATCATTATATTGTTTATCTATTATTATTATTGTTTAATCTATTTAAAAATTAACAATAACTGTGAAGGTACAAAATCTCATCTCTATCTCATTTTTAATGAGGCTTCGAATAGGATGTATTACTTATAGTCTGCAAATCTCTGATACAGTCTAAACTAGACTACTGCGGATTTATTTACGTGTCCGCATCCAAGAGTAGTCTAAAAAGCTTCAATACTGTTCCTAATATTTATTTATTTATTGCAGTACACTACAGATATAATCCAAACAGTACATGTCAAGAGCAAAAGACACTATAAACAAAAATATATTAGAAGACAAATTGCATCAAAAGATTAAAACTAGATTTAAAAACATACAAACACAATGAGAAACATAAATGCATCAAATTACTAAACATAGATTTAAAAATTTAAATGCAATAGAACACAAATACAAATCTTTCCAATACGAAAAAACAATGAAATTCAGACAGAGAAGATATCTATAGTCTAATGTTATTTTTAATAGTTTGCAGTGAATTATGAAAGCGTTATTTGAAAAATTATTATTATAGTTACCTAATAATATGTCGATAAATGAATTTTGCTGTAATTAGTCCTATGAGTCCTTACATGAAATAAGTTTAAGTAACACCCCAGCTAGCACAAAAACATCCCATCTACGTTAATAAGCTGCAATTTTAGGCTCTTTAAGCTCGCATGCAATGTACTGTTAATGTAACCCTATCATCCCTGCAACCACCGAATGTCCGCAACGGCAAGACTTTTATAGCACAGAGGTTACAAAATTAAAGTTCGGAAAACATTAACACTAGCACTTTTACGGTACTTACCCCGAAAGTTGCTCTGAAACTTTCTATAGATGTTATAATGTGAATTCATTCTACAGCATTATACAGTGTGTCCACGAATGGACTTAACAATACTTGTAAAAATATTTATTTTAAATTTAAAAGTACTTCTTCATAATTTCTTTTGCTTGTTAAATAAATACGATTAACGTTGAGAAATTATGAAAAAGACCTCTTGAAAAATTTAAAATAAATATCTTTACAAGTGGCAGTTGTAGGATGCTAAAAGATATTTTCCTACAACTGGTACTAATCATAGTTTTAATATGATATAACTTGCTTAAACTGCATATTGATAAATGTAAAGTCATAAGGTTTAATAAAACAGCTAATATCATTATGCATGATTGTCATTGCAGGTTCTGAACTAAGTTTTGAGCAAACTATAAATGATCTTGATGCTATTTTGGAGAGGGACCTATAAGAGTTGGGAATGCAGATGTCGAGAAGCATCATTTGTTTTCCTGTATAAGTTATTGAACGGTTTGATTGATAGTGACAGCCTGGTACACTTTATTAGATTCCTTGTTCCTGCCAGACTTACTAGGCATATGAAACTATTTTATGTAAATGCTCATAGAACTAACTATGGACAGAATTTATTTGTAGACCAACTGATGTCCAATTACAATAAGTATTTTTCAAATTATGACATTTTAAAAGGTTTATTTTTTAAAGTGTCAACTTTTATTACACTATTGACTTCATTTTTATACTGTGACAATTTTATTAATTTCTTTTTTCTACACCCGTATTATAATAATGCACTTATATGCCCATAATCCGTTTCATAATGATACCCATTATGATACAGATTTTTCATTATGATACAGATTTTTAATCAATAGAAACCTACAATTTTTCAATCAAGCATGATGTTTGACGTTTGTCCTAAATTCCTATGTAATTGTTTTAGTTGTCAAAACGTATTACATTTTCGTAGATAGCTAAACTTCGATAATTATAATATTAAAATGTCTGATATCAGCGATATAGAACACTCCTCCACACATATAGGAGAAAGGAGAAAATGCAGTACAAAATATTTTGCCCCAAAAATCTGTGGTAATACCAGTACCCAAGGTAATACCATTAATTACAATTTTGTAGAATTTTTTATAGAAATACGAGTAATTACTGTTATTGTGTTTAATACCAATATAAATAGAATATTTATAGGTCTTGATTATTTATCGGGTGTAGAAAAAATAGCGTATGCAACTCTCATGTAATGGTTATTAAAACACTCGCATAAACCATACGAAACTCGCCTTTGGCTCGTTTCGTATCCCGGTTAATGCTCGTGTATTAATAACCATCATTACATGATCGTTGCATAATATACTATTTTATTTTATTTTGATATTTTAACCATTTAGAACTTTATGTATCAGTAGCGTACTACTGTAAACAAATACATATGTGAACTTAATTACATAGTTTCTTCCGTAAAAATAACTTTGTAGATAATAAATTTACTTGTTTAATTATTAATAAGAAAATAATATATATAAAGAAAATAAAAAATATGCTCGTTTAAATCGTTGCACCTATTTTTAGTTGATTTTTACTTACTTTGTTTTTTTAAATAAATAATAACATTTATTTTGACTTTTACAAATTTGATACTTAATAATGGATGTTCAACTTATACAGAACAATGTTTTTTTAGCATGATATTCTGCTATGAAAGAAAAAGAAATAATCTCAGATATTATATATTCTTGTTCAACCAATTCTGTATTAACTTTAGCTTCTAAAATTCCTGAGATTTTTACTAGAATTATAATCCAGCACAAAGGAAACCTAAAACACAATATTTTTAAAATTTATTTTTAGTGATTAAAATATTATTACACTAGGGCGACCATACTAACAGCAATTTTTCTGTATTGTAAAGCATTTTTAAAGTTTGTCCAGCAATTGGTATTGTGCAGCAAACGTACAGCAAAATGGCATAGGTATATATATCCAGTGAAATGCTGTATTTATCCACCAAAACGTCACTACTGTCCAGCAATGGTAATACTTAATTTACTGAAACGTAACAAATTTAAATGTTATTTATCTTTAGTGAACTACATGAGCACTTCTATACTGCTGTTCTAGCAAGAAAGGTTTTATCTGCAAAATTAGCAGTTTTTTTTATGTGCATTTGTCTACATTTTATCTTTCTCGATACTGAAAAGGAATGTCTTATTTGCAACAAAGGTACTAAAATGTTAAAAAGTTACACAAAAAAAGGTTTAAAAGATAATAAATATAAATTTTCAGATAGGACTTCTCTTGTTAGGATATCAGTATATGACTTCTCTGTTTTTGTACTTTTATAATTGGGAGTAGGGTTGAGTATCGGTCAAAGGTATCAATACCGGTATCATGTGAGATACTTTGTGGTAGAGGCATCGATACTGTTCGATATTATGTTATAGATATTGATATTTATACGTCTCGAGTAACAAAGTATCGAAAAAGTAAAAGATTTTTGTTAAACGGCTGGCAACCCCCATTCAACAGGACGGAGTAGGGAACTTAACTAATAACAAGAGTGCATCAGTAAAGTATATTCTGTAGTCGACACCTTTTCTTTCTCTACTGGTACTCTACCTGGTACAAGTTATAGTGTCAATAACTGGCAATTTACCTTTTAATTAAATAACAAAAAAACAGTGGTAACGCTTAATCATATTACCAAGTTTCACCACATGCAAAAACTAAAATATTTCAGTACAAATATTTGAACAAACCTTATAATCTCTGACCACACACATAGCGATACAATACTTGCTTCTAAGTATCACTATGGCGATAGTATTGGTAATTCAGTGCCTAAATATCGATACTTTCATTGTTTAATATCGTTACTTCTATAGTATTAAGGCATCAATAAGATCCCTATTATCGTGTAAAATAAATATTTCATCATTTAATTGTATCTACTTGTTTACAATGATTTATTTTTTATTGTATTTGGAAATTGAAATTTTACCATCTAAAACAACAGACAATACATTAGAAAATTAGAAAATTTATTGAAAAGAAGAAAACAACTTACCAAACTTATTCAAACGTATAGTTTCCAATTTCTTTAAAATCTCAAATACGTACAAGAAAAAGTGACAAGAGACATTTTAGTATGTTTTGTTGGTTATGACAAACGAATGGCTACGTTCGAAAGTCCATAGTACTTCTCGTGGAAACTTTTTTAGCAAGTTACTAAATTACGTTGTGTTATCATAACAGGCAGGTTAAATACATAAGTAACAAATAGATGTTTCGCGAGGTTTTGATTTCCCACAACAACTTCTCATTAACGTTGCAATTACGTTGTATGGGTATGTTATTATGTTCCCTTAAAACAACATCGCCAAAAGGCTTGGTAACGTTATGTGCTAGCTGGGACTCTCATAAAGAAACAGAGAAACGGACTACTTTTAGCAAATCCTCACAATCCACCTGGCCATTAAGTAACTTGTGTAGAAAGAACAATCCTGCCTCCTATAATCTTCGTTTTAAACTTTATTACTGTGTGATAGTCTTATTTCGTGAGCATTTTCCTGGGATGGAAAGCGTAGTTTGAAGAGAAGATATTTTAAAAATTTGTTTTGTACATTTTTAGGTCTATTACTGTGTGTGTTATAAGATGGTGACCATATTATGGAACAGTATTCAAGATTACTGCGCACCAAACTGTTAAATAGGCACAAAATTGCTCGAGTATCCTAAATGTGTTTAGTATTCCTCTTGACGGAGCCAAGTATCCTAAAAGCTTTTAGAACGACACTCTGCAAGGGAAAATTGAAGGATATCTCCTTGTCCAATAGAACCCCAAGATCATTAATTGATGAAACTACTTTCAGAGAGTCGATATTTCAAAAATGGTATGCAAAAGATTTGATAAAGAACAATTTTTAAGTAATATCGGAGGAATCAAATCAGGTCCGGCTCCTTTTGAAGAACCAAATTTCACAAGCTTACTTCTAATCTCTTCCTCAGTGAAAGTGTAAGAGGGCAGATTAGAGAAAAAGTTAAGAGGTATTGTATTCTTATTTCTGACAGAATCATAGTTGTGATAACATGACTGAAAATGAGATGCAAATGCATCCGCGATAGATGAAGGATTGTCCAATATATTATTTTTAATT